ATATTTATTTTATATTGTTTATCTTTCTCTTACCATTTAAAAGATATATTAACACAATTTTTAATGCATTCAAGGCTTACAAAAAGCTCAGATGTTAGGTAATTACAATTAAAAATAGAGAGAAAAATCTGTAAGATCATTGGGAAGAATACAAATGGTCAATATCATACAAAATCTTTAGCTTCATAAAATATGAAATCAAAATTAAGATATAAGCAGCATCTTACATTTATCTTAAAAATGTACAGATGCCTAAGCATGGTCAGTAATCAGTTGAAGGGGCAATCTCCTTCTACAAAACAGAAATGAAATGTAACATTATTCCTTTCTGGGTAATAATCCCAGTTCTCCTAAATTAGCTGCTCAATGAAATTCAGAACATTAAATTGATTCCATACTTACACATTTTCACAGGATTATACATTTTTCAGAGTTTTGTGAATGTTCAAATTATTTTTCCAGTTAAAATTACAATCATACCATTTAAATATTATTAAAATACTCTAGATATATAGTGCCTTAGCAAAGCCAAATTAACTGGTGCACTCGGCTCTTGTTGGAAATAATCCTGTTTACTGGCCTCAGCCCCAGCTCCTTTGGATTTTCCATCCAGATGATACTGGACTCCCTGAAGTTCCACGATTAAGCCTGTTCTCTCATGCAAAGCCTGTGAAGTTTGCTTTTAGCTTTTCTTCAGCAGGAATAGTTCCTTTTATTCAAAGACATACCCGCTCATCATGTGTCACTCAAACAGTATCCTCTTCAAGCTTTCCCAGATTATTCCCCCACAGCCACCCTCTGATGGGTCATTTAAGACAGTCTTGATATCATTCCTCAAGAATTTTGTACACATTCTCTCTTTGCTTTATTTTATTCTGTTTTGTTCACTGAAGGAGGGGACCATGATTTTCATTCTGTATCCTTCTGGCACACACTAGCCAGATGAGAAAAATCACTGTTCTCAATGATAAGCAAAACCCTTACTGAATAGTTAAATAAATGTGGTCTGATATATTTCAATGTATAGGGTTGTTAACCTACTCCACAACAAAAACACTATTGTGGTACAGAAACAAAACAAGAATAGGCAACAGCATGAGATTTAAATTTAGAAACAGAGATATTTATTCTACCTCTTCTGGTATTGACAGTTATACAGAATATCATGAAATGAAGAAATGGCCCCTATGGTCTTAAGCTCTAGAACACAGCAATAAACAGCGTACTGCCTTTTATACTTTCCTTCAATACCAAAGGTCAATGGCAGGAAACCATCTCTTAAAAAAATCTAAATAAAAATAAATCTTACTAACTTTCTTTACCATTTAAATCTAACATTTCAATCCACTTAAAACACTTTAAGATTAATCAAGTTTAATATTCTATTAATATGAAATGACATTTAACAATATAATATACCATTGTAAGTAAGCATACCGCAAATTTTATCAGCATACTTTAAGAAGTCATATAAAAAACAAGAAGAAAAGAAAACTTCACATTGGCCTACAGATTAATTATAAATCAACCACTGTTGATGAAACAAAAATACAAAATATCCAGTAACTTTCAAGCCATAAACAGAAATAGTTTCAATAAGAAACATAATATCAAGAGAATTCTCCTGGAAGTTAAATGAAAATGACAACCAGAACATTTTCTAAATGTAGGTCATTTCTTAATGCAATTATTTCTTTCCATTTTATAGCTGCCAGACTTGTTTTCCTGAAATGAAACATTGTTATCCCTTCTCAAAGTAATCAAAACAATAAAACAAATCTAAAGAAAGAAAATGTTCTCCCCTAAAGTTAAAATATTATTTTGTGGAGAAGCAACTAGAGATACTGTCAAGTATTGGGCTCCAGTGACTTCCAAGCAATAAACAGGATAAAATTTTTTTGGATAAAGTTAAAAATATACTTAAACTTTTGCTTGGATTTTCTTGGGCATAAATTTTGCAATCCATAAATATGCACTTATTTCAGCAATATTGGGATGTCAAAAATGGGTCTTAGTGCCTTTGCTCAATATCTGAAAAGCTAAAGGAAACTTTCAATTCTGTATTACATTATGTTAATTTTTGAAATACCTATTAGAAATTTTTCAATGGAGGAAAACTTTTACTTTAGTAAGTATTTTGTAATATAAATGCAACCCCCCCCCACACACACACATACACACACATATATTTAAGTATTTATTTATTTGTGGCGAGAGAGAGAGAGAGATAAAGTGCTCCCATCTGCTAGCTTGGTCTCAAAATGTCTGCAAGGGCTGGAGCTGGGCTGGGTAGAAACCAAGAGCCGGGAACTCAGGCCAGGACTCTCTAGTGGTTGGCAGCGACCTAATTATTTCAGCCATCACCTGCTGCCTTCCATGGTGTGCACTAGCAGGAGCAGAGAAGGACTTGAACTCAGGTAATCTGATACGCGATGTGGGCATCCTCCCTGGCATCCTAACTGGTAGGCTTTCAAACACTTGGCCCTGTATTTTTTCCATTTGATATTTATTGAGAAAAAAATCTCATTAATAAGCTTCAATTATAAATAAAGCAAAATTCCATTGCAATTATTACTTCCCACGAATGAGTTGCCCCAAATTGTCACATAGGAACAAGGTTCTATAGCACAATCAACAAAAACAATGATTATTTTCTCAATACAATGTGGTAGTAAAATTAATACAAAAAATTAATTTATTCAAAAGAGTACTTATGTAAATTTGACAATTAAAAGCACGCTGGCCAGAAACAACATAATATTCCATTACTTATATATTACTCATGATTAATGGAAATAAGACAGCATATAGTTTAGAATAATTCAAGAGAAGTGATTACAGAAAAATATATTGTTGCTATATTATGGTTCATAAGGAAAAATAATATCAAGTATTTCAAAAACAAGGAAATATTCATGAAGATAAAGACAAAAAGAAGAAACTCTACGTCTGGGATGATAAATTGTTAATGCTCATCAATTCCCTGGCCGATGTGGCTAATGGATCATTAGACTCTTGGTAGCTGATGTTGGAATCCTTCTCAACACATGCTACAGGTAGCCACTACCAATCAATGAATTTTGGCACAACTGCTGAAACCTATTTGTCAAATCTGCTCACAGTGACACTGTTCAAGGTGTTCACTGAGAAACCTTCCTAGCAGGCAAATGGTACTGAACTATGCACAACCTGCTAGCATATGTGGTCAAGTAAGAGTTGGCTTCCAAGACCTTGTGAATGCACGAAAACTCTTAAAAAGTAAAATGGAGAAATAATAGTACAGCAGATAATATGATTTGGAGAGAGGGACAGAATTTAAAAAGCTAACTGCATGTATAATCTAGAATGGTTTCAAGTCGATGATACTGGCACTTCGAAAAGAATCATGCATAACAAAGAAAGTGATCACCGCAGAAGTAGCAAGAAATATAAATGATGGTTTCCTCAACTGCAATGCACCAGAAATTGAAGAATATCACTGGTAACTGACAAAATCAAAGATAGTTTCAAAAATGTGTATACACTGTGGTTTTAACATTACAGATTGTCTTTTTAAAAAAGATTTATTTATTTGAAAGGTAGAGTTAACAGATTATGGTTTTAAAAAATTGAGAAAATAAATAAGAAAATAAATAACTAATAAATAACTACCATAGAGGATTTGATGTAAAATTTGGTACTGGAAGCATGCCAGCATCTCAGCAATCAAAATTACAGATTTTCTCTAAGGAAACACCAAAACTCTCTACTACCATTTTGAACAAAAAGTATTTACCTCTAATGGAATTTAAAATCATACAATTCTCATTGAAAAATCAATGATTTTAAAACACTCATATAAAGTTATTTGATATTATTCATAGAAAGTAAAACAGAAATGCAATGGTAGTGGCTTGGCTTTAGTTATCTTCATTTTAGGAAAAATATACCTTCACTGAAATCTATTTTAAAATATATGCCACTGCTGGACTACATATGAAACATAAGCCACAATTTTAATCCAAGAATAAAACTTAATACTAAGCAATATTTTGGGGGGAAATTAAGTCAAAATATTCACTGAGATCAAGTAAATGTATAGTCAAGGAGAAGGCAACTTTGCTTTGCTGTAATTATACATTATACAACCTCACTAGAATGTTAAGTGAGACACCCCAGAGAAACGTACACTTCAACAATGAAATCACCTTGGATGATGTCTACAGCAGCACATTCTGACCATGAACCCTGCTCCACACCAAATGGCATTATGCACTCTTTTCATTGAATAAAAACAGCATCAGTGCTCCATTTGTGTACACTTAGCCATATTTAGGATCTGACAAGAATTTTTCAACAATAGTAAATTTTGACATTTAGCAGTAAAGAACATTTTTAACTACAAGCAATGAGCATCACAATTCATAAAGCATTAAGGCCAGGCCACCACATACAATTAAAGACAATTTTCCAAAATCTTCACTGGAATAAGCAGTAGGCTAGAGTCTTTTGCCCTTGATCAAATTCAGTGTCATGAATTATGGTTTTCTATCATGCTTTTCCATGACAATATCCATAGTTTCTTTCGAAAATGGGAATAGGCAACATATGAAAAAAACTTGCTTGACTTTACGGCCATAGTTTCTTGTAGTACTAAATTGTGGTGCATTCTATGTTATCTTATTCTGGTATTCATGACCATAACAAAACAAATTTTAATTAGTAGTTGTCATCGTCATTTTAGGAAAAATAGCACCTTCACTGAAATCTATTTTAAAATATATGCCACTGCTGGGCTACATATGAAACATAAGCCACAATTTTAATCCAAGAGCCACTCACCTCAAACAAGAGGAAAACAGGTGTTTCTGTAAACAATATAAATAACTAGCAAAGAATGCTTTCACACAAAATATGCAGAGTAATTAGAAAAGATTCAATTCAAGAACTGTAGTAAATAGACCAGTTTTATAGCATTCTATTAATAAAACTGGAAATTGCTTTAAAAATGTTTTCCTTACCTGTGTATACAGTTCTTACTCTCCAAATACAGCATACCAGAAGCAGCATCTAATGAAAATTTCACTAACTGTTTCAGTTTTAATTCATCCTTCTTCTTTCTCAGAAAGGAGAGGAAGTCACCTCCTGGAAGAATTTCAGACAAAACAGGGAAACAAAATGATGAGGAAGTCACATTTGTCATCTCTTAGGGATACCTGACAGAATAGAAAGCATTACACATTCAGCCATGCTTTCACCCACTTTGTTTTGAGTGAGGGTAAAAGAACACAGAAACAGAACAGATACCGAAGCGCAGATACCACAGACTCTTCTAGAAATAGTTTTACATACTTTCAGTGTAGCTTTTCCTCCCCTGCTCAACAACCCTTGCCAATGTGGGCTCTGGGGAATAAACCAGCAGATGGGAGCACTCTCTCTCTTTCTCTGCGTGTGTGTGTGTCTGAATCTCAAATGAATACAATTTGTAAAAACTGAAAAACTGAAAGTACCTTACACTGTATATCACCCAAGACATAAGAATACATATTCAAAATCAGGTTTTCCTTTGTTTCCATTTTTCACCAAGTTGCTTCATTAAAATTTCCTAAAGGATTTGATTTTCTCTGATACTAAACCGAAGACTAATTATTATGAGTTGTTCAAAAAGTAAGATATTGGATTGGTTATATGATTCCATGACTGCTTAAAAATTAAGACTATACACCAGCATCACTGATAACAGTGTCGAGGAAAAAAAAAAAAGCTATGATTCTAATGAGATTTAGTCACTGACCCAGACTGCACTCCTGTGCTTTAGAGGAATTCCAGTGGTGTTGCAGAAAAACTTCTCAAACTGTCAGTGGCCAAGAAAAATACTCACATAACTAGAGCTAAATAGAAATGTAGCATTTACTAATAGCTACATTTTAAAAAGTTTATTAAAAAGATGAGGGGCAGGCATTTGGCTTAGTAGTTAAGATGCTCAGGTTCAAGTCCCATCTCCACTCCCAAATTCAGTTTCTTGCCAGTGTGGACCCTTGGAGGCAGCAATGACGGCTCAGGTAGTTGGGTTCCCACCACCCATGTGGGAGACCTGTATTGAGTTCCTTGTTCTGGCCCACCCCAGCCACTGTGTGTATCTGGGGAGTGAACCAGTAGATGGGAGTTCTGTCGAGTTCTGTTGGTCTATTTCGTTCTCTCACTCTCTACCTCTCAAAATTTTTTAAAAACAATTTAAAGGTGATACTGATGTCAATATTTTCATATTCCAGTGTCTCTAAAATATTATAATATCAACATGTATTTGTATTAATATGTAAATTACAGTTGAGACACTATTATATTGTCTGAAATATATTTATTTTACACTTAACGGGATCTCAAGTTTTCTTTTTCCTGTTTAAATATTTATTTATTCATTTGAAAGGCAGAGAGCGAGAGAGAGAGAGAGAGAGAGGAAGCACTCACCAACCTTGATGCAAATTTTCATCTGAAATATTTTATCTGTATTTATATTTCATAAACCTTACAGTTGGAAAAATAGATTTAAATACTTAAGTTTTTCCAAACATGCTTAAAATCTCCCAACAACCGAATCAAGAACTTATTTTAAGTCTATCAACTAAAATTAAATAAAACTTAAAATTTGTTTTTTTTAGAAGTAGTAACAGATTTCAAGAGCTCAAGAGCCACAGTGACTACCATCCTGAATAGTGATGCAGCCTTAAATTTTGCCCTCCTTCTTAACGTGGCATTAGAATTTATGGCTTGATTAGTTTTTAAAAAAATTGGTTAACAGTCTTTTGCACTGTAAAAAAAAAAACACTAAAGTCTTAGGATGCTTCAGAAAGATTGCAGAAAAAGCAGAAGTAAACTACAATGTACATTTTTGCATAACTTTTTGAAGTACCCTCATATATTACAAGATGTGGTCTCTAAAAATAATCATTCCTACTTCCCTCAGATGTTAAACTAGAATTCTACCAGAGGGATTATCATTTTAAATTGCCATTTCTTGAATTTTTTTTTTCCATCTTCATTAGGAATGTAGGTTCCTTAAACAGTAAAGTTATAGAGGTGATGTGTTACTGGTTTTTTCTTTAGTGAGAGTAGCAAGAAAATAAATGCCTGCTTGGCTATCCTTTAAGTGTTTGCTTTTCAAAATGTTTTCTCTTATTCACACAAATCAAGCATTATACAAATTTAGTTGGATCATTTATAAAATCAATAAGTTATATGATTTAAATATAAACCCATTATGCCAAACAACTTGCCTCAGTTCTTTTTAAGATAATACCACATGTATTACATTACTAAGATGATTACTACAACAGTTTCTATCAAGTTAAACTTAAAATCTGAATAAAACACATAATATCAATAATAGCAAAAGTAACCACTTATTTATCAACATTAACAGTTACCAAAGCTGCTTACTTAAAATGGACCTGAAATAACTTAGTTCAAGATACTATTTGAGGGGCAGGAATTTGGCACAGTGGTTAAAATACCACACTGGGGTACCCACGTACTATATGGGGGTGCCTAGGCTTGAGTCCTGGATCCAGGTCCAATCCAGCTTTCTGCTGATGCATACCCTGGAGACGTGAGTACTTGGGTTTCTGCCTCCCAGCTGGGAGTCCTGGATTTGAGTTCAAGGCTCCTTAGCTGTTACAGACATTTGGAGAGTGAACTAGAAGATGGAAGATTTCTGTCTCTTTCTCTTTCTATCTGCCTCTCAAATATGAAAAGCAATAAATAAAAAAATGAAAGATATTACTTGGACCAATATTCACACATTAATCCTTTTGCTAGGGATACGTTAGCCTGTTTTAGAAAAAGCGCACTCTTGAAACCACATAACATTGTGTTTAAGCTATGGAATAACTCAAATGTAATTTGATTTAAAAGCAGCAGTGTTCTTCTATAGACTCATGATATTATTTCTTTCCAAAGTTAGCTCATATTCAGCACTTTTTCAACTGTCTCCTGCTGTTTTCAGATTTATTTCTTCATATAATCCTCTTTGCATTCCCTGTCCACCACCTCAGACTTGAAGAGAATTGTTCTTTTCTTGTTAAGTAATTGTTAACAAATTATTTAATTGTTATTTAAAAAATTATTAAATACTGGTAAAATTAAAAATATATTATTAAACAGACAACCCATAAATACCATCGAAAATGGAGTGAAAAGTGATGTCAAGTCAATAAAGCACCAGTTAGAGCTACAAACAACCTTTTCTAAATACTGTGACACAGCCAAAGATAAAGGAGACTGCTGATTACCCAAGGGCACATGGTTAATCAGATATAGAACAATCTGAACAATATTTCTACCTCTGAAAAATTTCTTGCTGAAAATCATTCATTATAGAAAAAAATTTAATTTATTCCCAATTAGTAGTTATTCAAGCCATAGGCATAGTGATCTTAAGTAAAGGAGCAGTGGTGTACCATTGCATAGGCCTAGTTAGCTTCTTGCAGAAAACTAGAGGGAAGGAAGATATTCAGTAAATATATAGAATTATATATTATAATTCAGCACTGAGCCTTATCCAATTGCATGCATTATTTTAAAGCAAGAAGTAAATGCCCCAGGGGTAGAGAATGGGACTATTTAGAATACCCTAAAAATAATGAAGATTGGGCCAGAACTGTTCCCCAACAGGCACAATACTTGATCTTCACATGAAGTGAACTGGAGAGTGGCCGGAAGACGCCGTCTTCAGTACTTATTCAGTGCAGGGTTACTTCAGAAGGCAGGACCCACCCCCCCCCCCTTAAAAAAAAATTTTTTTTTCCTGATCAAGGCTCATTTATTGAACAAATCCAGTAGTATCTAAACATGACCAGTTGTTTACAAGAAGGAGCACAAAAGATTTACATATCAAAAAGGCTTTTAAGGTTACAATAAAACACTTAGGTGATAAATGCAGGTTTCAGGTGTGACTGATTATCTGTATCATCTCTTGTGAGAGGTTTAGGTTCTTCCTGCCTCATTTAAAAATTTACACATGAACTTCCAAGTTTTGCACCAAAAATAAAGTTGTTAATTTCATGTTCTGTAAAATTTCTGAAGTGCTCTACTTTATGTATGTGTGTGTGCATGTATGGCTGCATACATGTACTTATCTGTGTGCGTGTGTATATATACACATACACATACATATACACACACACACACACACACACACATGCATACAGTGTATGCATACAGTATACACTACCCTAGCTGACCACTGCAGAAGGATTTTGGTTCTCAAAGTGTGCATAACAAATAACTCCCCTTTTGTAAGTCTGTCTTAACAAAGCTTATTTCTATGTGAGTATTACACACATTAGGCCGAAACAGGATAGATTACATTTTAGAATTCTACAAACAATGATAAATTTCTAGGATAATATTTAATAGGCTTTTAAAAAGTTTTTTAAAAATTTATTTATTTATTTGAAAGGTAGAGTTATAGATGAGGGAGAAACAGAGAGAGGGGGAAAATAGAAAAAAAAAAATCTCTGATCTGCTGCCCAGATGGCCACAAAACTAGGGCAGGGCCAGGCTGAAACTATGAGTCAGGAAGATTCTTCCTGGGTCTCCCATGTGGGTGGCAGGGGCCCAAGCACTTGAGCCATCGTCTGCTGCCTCCCAGGCACATTAGCAGGGATCTGGAAAGGAAGTGGAGCAGCCAGGACATGAACTGGCATATGAGATGCTGGAGTCACAGGCATCAGGTTAACCTGCTACGTGACAACACCAGCACCATTAATATGCTTTAAATAGACAACTGTTGGTTTTCTATGGAGATAACATGATATGGTAGGAAGAGCATAAATACTGAAACCGGATCAACCTATATCTGATTAACCATGTGGCCTTGGGTGATTTTTCTTATCTTTCTTTAATTCTATAAAATGGAGATTAATGCCATTTGTCTACAGATAGTTTTGAGGTCTAAAATGTATCTGTTGAACTAAGCAAGTGCCTAGTACATAGTACACATAATAAATAAAACTTCCTGTTACTGAAGTTATTTTGCAGAAAAACTGAAAGACTTGGAGTAGGGACTGGTTGTTTTCTGCATATCCTCACCCCAGTTTCCTTTAGGGGACTGCTGCTCTCTCATGTGGAAGGTATTAACCTCAGCC